CTCTGACCCCTGAGTGCTGAAATTAAAGGTATGCACCACCACCGCCCAACTCTAGAATGGTTTCTTGTATAAACCAAAAGTCTGCGATATCCTCCTTCCTCTCCCTCTCCTGGGGATGGACCCCAGAACCTTACACAGGCTAAACAAGTACTAACCAGTAGGCTTCATATGAGCCCTCTTTTTACTTTTCACTTACTTAATTTATTATTTACTTTGGACTCGAATGCTTGTGCATACGGGCCCAGACACCTGCACACTCAAAAATACATACAAACCAACAACAAGGAAATCGGGAAGGAACAATATCAGTTTCTATTACAATCAAACTCTTTTGTTTTTCTTTTAGGATTTATTTATCATATATACATGCCTGCACATATGTCTAAAGGTCAGAAGAAGGCACCAGATCTCATTACAGGTGGTTGTGAGCCACCATGTGGTTGCTGGGAATTGAACTCAGGACCCCTAGAAGAGCAGCCAGTGCTCTTAACCTCTGAGCCATCTCTCCAGCCCCTCTTTTTTGAGTTTCTCTGTGTGTGTAGCCCTGGCTGTCTGGGATTCCCTATTTAGATCAGGCTGGCCTCTAACTCACAGAGATCCTCCTGCCGCTGCCTCCTGGGTGCTGAGATTAAAGGTTTACATCACTACTACCTGGCAAATCAAAACTTAAATATGAGTAAAAACACGTATGCTAAGCAATCCTTATGTGTTGAGCATGACTTTAGACCTGGAAACTGAGCGCGGACCCAGATGTGGGGCTCTTGTCTGGCAGGGGCGAACAGATGAGAAGGGCAGTGAGGGTGTGTCAGGTGGGGTCTGTGCTAAACAACTCAGGTCCCCTGGAATGGGTTTACTCTCCCAAGAACATGTTGTTAAGAAGCAAGGCTTCCCTGTACACTCGAGGTTCCACACGAGGCTGCTTCTCTTTCCATTTCTTTGCCGTGTTGTAACACCACCACCGGGGCCCTTAGCAGAGGTCCAATAGATAGTATTGTCCAAACCTTGGCCTTTTAGCCTCTAGGACTACAGGCAAAATAAACCTTTTTTTAAAAAAGGTTTTTGAGACAGGGTTTCTCTGTATTGTTTTGGAGGCTGTCCTGGAACTCGATCTGTAGACCAGGCTGGCCTCGAACTCCCAGAGGATCAGGGACGTGACCAAGACAGCTGCCCCTTCTCCAACTCTTTGTGTTCCCCTTCCCCCACCCAAAGGAACCACAGAGAGCAGAGCAGAGCAGTGGAGAGGCCAGAATCCTTCCTGCCTGGCCAGTCATCCCCTTTACTGCCAGTGGCCAGTGTCCCTCTAGCACCCTCTACTGGCCAGGCTGGCTAAATTTCTAGTCTACAAAGGACAATACAGTGGGGTTGGGAGGGATGGGGAGTGGTGCAGGTGTGTGTGTCCTTTGTATACAGGAATGGATTCAACCAACCGCTGTTTTAAACTCCCAAAGGGCACCATGCAGTGCTGGCACACACATTTAATCCCAGCACCCCGGGAGGCAGAGGCAGGCTGATTCCTGAGTTTGAGGCCAGCCTGGTCTACAGAGTGAGTTCTAGGACAGCCAGGACTGTTACACAGAGTAACCCTGTCTGGTGTGGGGGAAGGGGAGGGTGGAGTAAATAAAAGAACAGAGAAATGAAAATACCAAGTAGCAGGGGTGCTGAGCTACGCATAATAGCGCGAGTCTGTGATCCCAGCCCTCAGAGGGAAGAGGAAGGAGGGTTCTGTATTACACGTGAGCCCCATTCTCAAAAAGAGGTGGAGGGAGGCCAGGAACTCAGCAACACGCTTGCTGCATAGGTGTGAGGACCTGAGTTGGACCCGCATCATCCCTCATGAAAAGCCAGGGAGGAGGAGACAGACACTCCCTGGGGCTTGCTGGCCAGTCAGCCAGAGAGAGGCCTTATCTCAAAAAAAGGAAAAGAAAAGAAAGGCAGAAACCAAGGTTGGTCTCTGAGTGTCAAAGCACACACACACACACACACACACACACACACACACACACACACACACCCCAAAAGTAAATAAGAACAAACCCAGGGCCAACAAGATGGCTGGCTCACCAGGCAAAAGCAACTAACACAAGCCTGACAATCTCTCAAGTTCCATCCCTAGAACCCACATCAAGGTGGAAAGAGAGAACCAACTTCACATGCATGATCTCTACATGTACACCAAGGCCCACACACACTCACATGCATAAAATTATGAGTGAACACACACACAGAAATTATTTACTTTTATATGTGCATGGATGGTTGTGGTAGGAGATAAGGATGTACAGTACCCTTGGAGGCCAAAAGAGGGCATCAAACTGGTTACAGGTGGTTGTGATGGATGTGTCTATACTTACTTTTTTTAAGTTACTTTTGCGTAACTGTGACAAAATACTAACGGAGGGCTGGGGGTTTGGCCTATAGAATGCATGGCCTGTGGGCATAAAGGCCGGTTTCATCCCCAGTGCACTATAACCCAGGTATATTGGCCCACGCCTGTGACCCCAGTGCTCTGTAGGTAGGGACAGAGGGATCAGAGTGCAAGGTGATTTGGGGGTATATATTGAGTTGAAAGCCAGACTGTGATACATGACACCTGTCCCAACAAACAAACAGACAAAACTAGCAGAAACAGCTCTAGGGAAGAAAGATTTATTTTGGCTCACAGGTTGATAGGGCTCCCCCCAACCCCCACCCCCGGTGATGGATAAGGCCGAGTGGGCCACCTGTCAGTGGGCGTCTGCAGGGACAGCTGCTCACACAACACCTGGAAGCAGGGAGCTACTGAAACCAAGGTCAGATTATAACCCTCAAAGGCCAGCCCCTACTGTCCTGCTTCTGCCAGTGAGGACCCACATAATAAAGACTCCATAGCCCCCCAAATAGCAGCAGAACAAACACATCAAATAGGAGCTTGAGGGGAAATATCCAATTCAAGCCATAACACAGGCACGGACTTCTTTTTCCTTTTATGTCTTTTTTCTTCCTTGCTTCCTTTCACCCAAGCTGATTTCAAAACATGATCCACCTGCCTCAACCTCTTCAGTGCTGGGATTATGTGTATAACTCTGAGGTTGGAACCAACAACCTTGCCTATGCTGATACTGTCACTGAGCCACGCCCCTAGCCCCACACTGGGGGATTCTAGGCAAGGGCTCTACCACGGAGCCACGCCCCCAGCCCCTCATGGGGAGGAGGAGATTCTAGGCAGGGGCTCTACCACTGAGTCATGTCCCTGCTCCTCAATTTTTTTTTTTTTTTGGTTTTTCGAGACAGGGTTTCTCTGTATTGTTTTGGAGGCTGTCCTGGAACTCACTCTGTAGACCAGGCTGGCCTCGAACTCACAGAGATCCGCCTGCCTCTGCCTCCCGAGTGCTGGGATTAAAGGTGTGCGCCACCAACGCCCGGCTCCCTGCTCAAAACAATATCATGTAAAAATTATTCACATAGCATTAACAACTGTACTGAGGATTACACAGGAATCCAAAGTTATTTCAGCGTGCAAAAGAAAGCCAGGCATGGTGGTACACACCTGTAATCCACTCTGAAAGTGGAGGCAGAAGAATCTAAAGTTCAAGGCCACCCTCATCTACACGGTGAGTTTTAGGCTAGTGTAGGCTGTATGAGCCCCTGTCTCAGAATGGCAGTGTGCGTGTGTGTGTGTGTGTGTGTGTGTGTGTGTGTGTGTGTGTTGTATTGTGTGTCTGAGTGGTGTGGGTGTGTGTGTCTGGGTGGAGTGTGTGGTGTACTGTGTATCCAGGTTGTATGTGGGTGCTGTGTGTGTGTGTGTCTGGGTTGTGTGTGTGTGTGTGTGTCTGGGTTTTGTGTGTGTGTGTGTGTGTGTCTGGGTGGGGTGTGTGGTGTATTGTGTATCCGGGTTGTATGTGGGTGCTGTGTGTGTGTGTCCGAGTTATGTGTGTGTGTGTGTCTGGGTTGTGTGTGTGTGTGTGTGTGTCTGGGTGGGGTGTGTGTTGTACTGTGTGTCCAGGTTTTGTGTGTGTGTGTGTGTGTGTGTGTGTGTGTGTGTGTGTGGTGTACTGTGTGTCTGGGTGGTGTGGGTCTTTGTATCTGTATGTATGTAGGAGCTGGGAGGATGACTTGGTGTTTACAGGGAAATTTCAATACAGACAGCACTGTATAAAGTTATCATGGAGAGTCTATACAATCACAGATATAAAATGTTTAAAGGCACTGAAGATGCAACAAAGCCAGCAGAGTGCTACCCTGCGTGCAGGAAGTCCTGGGATTGAGCAGGGCGAGGTGACCCATGCCTGCAAGTCCTGCAAGTCCGGCACTCCGGAAGTGGAGGCAGGAGGAACCAGAATTTAAGGTTCAAGTTCAGCCTGCACTACCTGGGGTTTTACACAAAGCGGGAAGGGGGCGCTGCCGGTGGCACAGGCTTTTAATCCCAACCCTTACACAAAAGCAGGAGGATCTCTAGAAAGGCCAGGCCAGCTTGTTCTACACAGAGAGTTCCGGGCCTGGCAGGACTACTAGCGAGACCCTGTCTCAAAAAAAAAAAAAAAAAAAAAAAGAACCTAAGTGGTAAAAAAGAAAAGAAAAAGAAAAAAAAAGCTTCTGATACATTTCATGAAACATAGTCACTGTCATCATTATTTATTACGGGTGCCTGGCACAAGTCATCCAAACCCATCATCTTTCTTCTGGCACCCCCCCAAAACTCCTACATGTCCCCTAAGATTCCAAGAAAGGCCTCCTCCGTGCCCCAATTTCTCTAAAAACATCTCCCTCCTTGCTATGTGCCCTCGCCATCGCTAGAAATTCGGGGTGACTCAGGGCAGCTTCCTCTCCTCCCACCATGCTCTGGGTGGGTTCTGAGGATTTTCCAGTCAGGGTTCCAAGCTTGGATCCAGTCTCCTCCTGGGTTTCTCTTTCAGATCCGGTCTTCTGTCCGTCATCCTCCGGCCCCGCCCACCAGGCATCTCCCCTCCCCCTCCCTAACTCACCCCGCCCTGCGATTGCGTCAGCAGAATGCTCTCCCGGCCACTCCCTGGGGAACTCTGTAGTCAGGGACGGGGGACTCCCGGGCGACGGTCCCAGAGGCGTGACTGGTGCTGTGGCTATGCCCCATCTTCAGGTCCAAACTGTCCTGAGGGCTGGAGGCTTGCCTGCAGCACGGACTGGAGGACCCGGCCTCAGAACCACTGACGCAGGAGCTCAGAGGACCTGCGTGTGGAACGAGATCCCAGGTGACCCACAGGGTGAGAATCACTGCGGTGGAGGGAGGAAATGGTTAAGATTCGTGCTCCTCCTGGCGAGAAAGGACGAACCTGTGCCATCTGCAAGAAAAGTGAACGGGACTGGAAAGCCTCGTGTCACGCGAAATAAGCCAGACTCAGAAAGGCAAATATCACGAATTTTCTCTCCTGTGCAGAATCTACATTTAGCAGTATGTAGGAAAGCCATAAAAAACACGAGGGGAGTTATTTGGAACAGGAAAGAGAACAGTGGGGGGCGTGAGGGGGCATAAGAGACATAACTACCTGTAACTCCAGCCGCAAGGGAGCAACGCCCTCTTCTGGTTGCCCTGAGGACCTGCACACATGTGCAGACACATCCACACCCATAAACACATACACGTAATTAAAATTAAAACGAGGGACTGGAGAGAGTGCTCGGCAGTTAAGAACACTTGTCGCTTTTCCAGAGAACCTGGGTTCAGTGCTCAGCACCCACATGACAGCTCACAGCCGCTGGTAACCCTAGTTCCGGAGGTCCAGATCTCTCAAGACACCGAGTGCACGTGTTACACAGACACGCATGCAGGTAAAACACCCACACACATAAAATAAAAATAAAATCCTTTTTACAAATCAAAAAATAACATTTTTAGAAAACAATAGAATAGCCGGGCAGTGGTGGTGCACGCCTTTAATCCCAGCACTCGGGAGGCAGAGGCAGGTGGATCTCTGTAAGTTCAAGACCAGCCTGGTCTACAAGAGTGAGTTCCAGGACAGCCTCCAAAGCCACAGAGAAACTCTGTCTTGAAAAACAAAAAACAAGCCGGGCGTTGGTGGCGCACGCCTTTAATCCCAGCACTCGGGAGGCAGAGGTAGGCGGATCTCTGTGAGTTCGAGGCCAGCCTGGTCTACAGAGTGAGTTCCAGGACAGCCTCCAAAACAATACAGAGAAACCCTGTCTCAAAAAACAAACAAACAAACAAGAAAAACAAAAAACAAACAAACAGTAAAATATAAAGCAAAAATGGCACATGTAATGATGTCATAATGAGACCCATTATTCTGTATTCTAACTAAAAAAAAAAGTTACCTAAGGGGAAAAGTTACCAAAAGGGTGGCCCATGGACCAACGACAAGAGCATCCTCTGGTGAGAGGGTCGGAGTGTCTCATTGGGCACAGTGCCATGAATCTGCAGCCCCAAACACTCAGGAGGGAGGGCAGGAAGATTGCTTGAGCCCAGGAGTTTGATGACAGCTTGGGCAACACAGCAGGAACACAGCAGGAGCTTTTCTCAAAATAATAATAGTAATAGTAATAATTAAAAAAATAGAAAGAAAAAAAAAGCTGGCAAGATTGTTCAGGATCCCACCACCACCAAGCCCGACAACCTGAGTTCAAATCTGAGAACCACATGGTGGAAGGAGAGAACTGACCTCTGCACTACACACACGCACACGCACGCAATGCACGCACATGCACGCACATGCACGCACATGCACACACACATGCTTACTCACGTGCGCACACTCACACTCACACACGCAACACGTGTGCACACACATACACGCACGCACACACGCAGGTGCACACACATTCTCACGCACATGCGTGCACACATGCACGCGCACACATACACACATGCACATGCACACACGCTCACGCAAGTGCACGCACACAATACACACAGGCACATACACACACTCACGCACGCGTGCACACACATACACACACGCACGCGCACACATGCACACAAGGAGAGGGAGAGGGACGCGCAGAGCAGTATTGTCATCTGGCTGTCTGTAGCATCCTATGTCCTCCAGCCCGCAGATGTGAGAGCATCTTCCTTCCTTCGAAGCCTCGGCAGTGTTTATTCCTAGCTGTCATTATTAGTCATCCCCACGGCTCTCCTAGTGGAAGCTCAACGTGGCTTTTCATTTGCAGTTTTACTAATGGTTTCCATACTGGCTTCTATGTGTTTAACCCTCCTCCACTGATTATTTGTTTATCTGCTCTTGTCTTCTGCCCATTTCCCATTGGGTTGCTTGCTGTTGTTTCGATACAGAGTTTTGCTGTGTAGCCCAGGCTAACCTCAAACTCAGAATTCTCCTCTTTCTTCAGCCCTCCTGGTACTGGTGTTACAGGCATGTGCTCAGCTTATAGAACATGCTATTCAGTTTTTGGTTGTTTTTTTGTTTAGTTTTTGTGTGTGTACGTGTTGAATGGCATGCACAAGTGTATGTACACATACTTCCAGAAGCCAGAGGTTGACATAGAGTGGATCCCTATGTATCCCTGCAGGCGAAAGGGGGCATTGGATCTCATTACAGATGGCTGTGAGCCACCATGTGGGTGCTGGGAATTGAACTCAGGAACCCTGGAAGAGCAGTCAGTGCTCTTAACCTCTGAGCCACCTCTCCAGCCCTTGTGCCGGGTCTTCAGGCGGGTGTGGGGGTCCTAACTCATGCTTGTTCCCACACTTGCACAGCAAAGCACTTCGTCCACTAAGCCGTCTCCCCAGCCCCCTGGGTCAGTTTTGAGACATGGGGGCTGGGGTGCAACCAGGTATGGGGGACCATACTTGTATTCCCTCATCACTTGAGAGGCTAAGGCAGAAGAATCATGAGTTCGAGGCTCAAGGATAGTCCAGGCTACATAAGAAGAAACTGTTTCAAAAGACAAAAAACTCTTTGTGCAGACTCAGTACTGATGCAATGCAATTTGTCTTTTTCCAGCCCATAATTGGATCCAGTGGTGGCACAGGCCCATAATCCCAGCACTCAGAAGGTTGAAGTAAGAGGATTACCCATAAATTCAAGGCTAGCCTGAGGTACCTGGTGGGTTCTAGGTCAGCCTGGGCTACAGAATAAAACCAAATCAAACAAACAACAAAAAAGAAAGAAGACAAAGCCCAGAAGCCTTGGTGCACTCCACCTTTAACCCCAGCACTCGAGAGGCAGAGGCAGGCTGTTCTCTGTGAGTTCAAGGCCAGCCTGGTCTACAGAGTGAGTTCCAGGCCAGGCAGGGCTACACAACGAGACCCTGTCTCAATTAAGCAAAGCAAAACAAATCCACAACACTCCTCAGTGGGTAGACTCTGTCGGTGGGGGCTTGTCCACATGGAGAGCTGACTGTGCTGTCCTGGAGAGGACAGAGACAAAACAGCTCCATCATTTGGGGACGTTCTGGTGGACAGCACCAAGTAGAGCATGTAGACACACACGCGTGACCTGTGTTCCCATGACATCAGAGTTCTAGTCCTGAATACGCATCTCTGAGCTCCAGTTCTTCATTGGTCTGTCATTGCTCCCTCTTTCTGGGGTGAGTAGAAGCAGACTCCTCACGACGTCAAGCGCCAGACACGGGCTGGAGTACTGGGAGAGACTTAGGGTCCTTGCCCACCCCAAGAGCGAGCACCCCTAAATTTTACATCTTATGCTATTCACTTCCCTCACCCCAGTCCCAGCCCGTAGATGATGCAGAAATCATCTCCAACTTGACAGGAGCTGTTTGTTTAAATTACCTTTATGTATGTTAGATTATTTATTTATTTATGCCGTTCATTTTTGGTGGACGTGAATTAGAGTACAAATTGCAGGAGTCGGTTCTCTCCATCCACCATGTGGGTTCTGGGTTTTGAACTTGAATTGCCAGGCTTGGCTGCAAGCGCTTGCACCCACTGAGCCAGCTTGACAACTTGAAAGCTGTAATACTTAGTTTCCAAAACGGCTCCTTTCCCCGGGGTAGGGATTGCTCCTGAAGAAAGCACTCATGGCACTTCCACTTCCGGTCTGGTCTGCATCGGCGCAGTAGAGGGACCTAGGGGAGCAGAGAGATCCAGGCCCACGCGGGTGGGAAGTTGTCGGTGTGTAGGGACTGCCCACCCTTTCCACGAGTGAGTCCAAAAGAGCGCCCATGGGATGTGGTGGGAGGGTGCCAGCTGGCGTGCTGCTGCAGAAAGCTCTGAAAAGTCTCCCACACAGAGGACAGGTGTGGGCCTTACGGGATGGCGGAGCTGGAGGCAACCTAAATGCCCATCTCTGGGCGAGTGGCTAAGTACCGGCTCTGTGGGCGCGCAGTCACAGTTACACACAGCTGTGTGTGTCCGCAGCTGTGTGGGGAGATGTCAGGGACGGAGCGTTAAGTTTTAATTCTCTTTCAAAGTTGGTAGATTTATAGCACAATCTCACTTGTGCAAATTGGAAACGCAGAGACACACAAAGTCACAAATTAAACCGGTGCCTCCTGGCAGTTGTATATCAGGTCCGCTGAAGTGGGTGTCTGGGAGGCGGTGGGTGGGGGTGGGGATGGGGATGGGAGAGTCTTTTATGGGCCAATTGCAGTTCTGTGTTGTGATCTGAAAAGTATGATTAACCACCTTGGGCACTGAGGACTAAGAAGAAATGAAGAAATAAAAGCTGTAGACACATCAGAGCAATTGCTTACTGGTTATGTGACTCTGATGACTCTCGGGGTGACCAACAGCAGAGCCCCAGACCCTTCCCCAGCCTGTCCTAGGAAGTGCCCTTGTCCCCAGCAAGTGATGACCTTTCATGTTATCCAACACCTTGCCTGTTGAGGGGTGTGTGTGTGTGTGTGTGTGTGTGTGTGTGTGTGTGAGAGAGAGAGAGAGAGAGAGAGAGAGAGAGAGAGAGAGAGAGAGAGAGAGCTGTTAGTTACCAGGTGTCTTCCTCAGTAGCTCTTCACCTTATTTTATTTTGGGGGTCTCTCACTGACTGAGAGCTTACCAGTTGGCTAGTCTGGCTAGCCAGCAAGGCCCAGGGAGGCTTCTGTCTGCCTCCCCAGCAAAGCAATCACAGATATGTAATGTTGTACTGGCTTTTCATGGGTCCCGGAGATCAAACTCAGGTCCCGATGCTTGTGAGACGAGCAGTTTTACCAACTGAGCCTTCTCCGCAGCCCATCCCTGTCCCTTTGGTCTTGAAGATGGTCTTGCCATGCAGTCTGGTCCGGTCTTGAACACTCAGTCCGAAGCACCTGCCACCGCAGCCAATCCCAGCTCTGCCCGGGCTCTTCTCCCATCTCTCAGCAGCATGCATAGTAGGGTACACACCCCAGCCTGTTACTAATCAGTGGGGGGACCCCAAGGAAGTCATCAGAAAAGTGGGGCAACCGTTATATGGTCGGGGTTCTTCCGAGAGGCAGAGTGCACAGTCATGTACCCCACAACAGCATGCAGCCAGTCATGGACCACCGAGCCCAGTGGGAAAATGTAGACAGGTTTTGTTGCTGTTGATTTATTTATCTTTATTTTATGTGTCTGAGTGTTTGTCTGCATGTGTGTATTTGTGCCATGTTTGTGCCTGGTTGCCCTCAGAGACCAAAGAGGACATCAGAGACCCTGGAACTGAAATTACAGACATTTGTGAGCTGCCACTCACACTACCAGACCAGGAAGGAATGTGGATTCCTGACATCCAAGAGCCATCAACTCCAGATCTTCCTCCTGTCAAAGCCCTAACTCTACAGGAGTTTCCTTTTCCTCACAGGCCTGCCTTCTTCCCCAAACACCCTCAAATACCCAGAAATGAAGCCTTTCCGGCTACCTGGCTACTCCTGAGCGTGACGACACCCAAAAATAATCCTCACAATGATAACAGCAATTACTCATTCATAGGAATCTTAAGGAGACACCCTCCTCAGGCAGGAAGCCTGTTCCACACATGCCCACCCTCCAAAGAAGTCTAAATTGGAGAGCCCTGGCCTTTGGTGTCCTGAAAGAGATGGTATTGCAGATGTCCCACACTGGATTCTGTTTCTCTTTCCTTCCTGGAACAGCATCACACACCTGGCCACACCCACACCCGCTCACCTGCGTGGCTCAGGAATTGGCTCCGCTGACTGAATTTGCCTCTGCGGGGTACATTTTATCTTCATCTCTTCATCTCTTATGGACGTATTATCAAGGACAGTATGTGTAAGCCCGGCTTAAAAAGCAGAGAGCCATGCAGCTCGGGAGACACTTGGGACTTGACCATGGCAACACTATTCGCTACTGGGTCTGGTGATCATGATGCTGGGCTTGGCCACAGCTTGTCCTGTCCCTCCTTCCAAGCCCCCTCCAGGCTTAGAAGAGGCTGTCACATCAGCATTTTCCAGTCCATATCACAACCCGAGCTAGACGTCTTCAAGAATGCCCCAGAAGCTTTGGTGTGTTACTGCTACCATAATGGGCTACCCTACATCTTTCCTACTGGGATGAAGATGGTAGCCTACTCCTGTGGGCTAACTCTAACCTTCTACTATAGGCTAGGCTTGAGCCTTCCAGCTATGACAAGTTTATCCTTTCTTTAAAAAAAAAGATTTATTTATTTACTGTGCATACACTGTTCTGCTTGCATGTATATGTATGCCTGCCAGAAGAGAGCACAAGATCTCGTTATAGATGGCTGTGAGCCATCATGTGGTTGCTGGGGATTGAACTCAGGACCTCTGGAAGAGCAGCCAGGGCTCTTAACCTCTGAGCCAACTCTCCAGCCCGAGTCTATCCTTTTTTTTTTTTTTTTTTTTTTTTTTTTTGGTTTTTCGAGATAGGGTTTCTCTGTGGCTTTGGAGGCTGTCCTGGACCTCGCTTGGTAGTCCAGGCTGGTCTCGAATTTACAGAGATCCGCCTGCCTCTGCCTCCCCAGTGCTGGGATTAAAGGCTTGCGCCACCAACGCCCAGACCGAGTCTATCCTTTCTGATAGGGTTTCAATTCAAATCCTCCAGCTAGGCCGAGTTTTACTCTTGCAGCTGTAAGCTAGGTCTCATCTCTCCCGTGTGGGCTAGCCTGTGTCTTTCTCTTCAGGAAGAATCACTGCCTCAGAAGAAGGTTCAGTGCGGCACCAGGCTCTCTCCCGGTGGGTGGAAACTGGCCCAGCTGCCGGTGAGTTGGAAGCCGGGTGAGGATTACCCCCTTGCGCTGTCACTTCCCTCCTGAAGTGGCTCCTTGCCTGTCCCCAAACCCTGTGTCCTTTAAGTGCCCCCCCATACTTAACTAGCTCCTTCAGCTTGGTCTCTTTTTGAGGGGAGAGTGACATGCAGGGTCTCACTATGTAGCCCAGGCTGGCTTCAGTCCTGAGGGCCTGGAGACCCTCGGCCTCAGCCTCCCGACAATGCTGGGGTCATGGCACCACACCTGCTCGTGTTTCTCTTCCTTTCTCGCCCAGCCTGTCCGCCGCCCACGCCCCTGCCCTGCTCCCTGTGCCTCCCCGTCTACACTAAGCACAGTGCTCTCTCCTCCCTTACCCCGCTTCCCGGCGCACAGCCTCTCCCCTCTGTCCCTCATCTCTTAAAGTGATCCTCTTCCAGCCTGTGCTCCTCCCCGTCCTCCCCTCTTTCCATGAAGCCTCCTCCATCCCCCCTACCTCCCGATCCTGCCCCCCACCTCCCGTTGCTTGGCGCCATCTTGTTTGCCTCCTCACCTGTCTCCTCCCTTCCTTTTTTCCTCACCTGCATCCTCCCCATCCACACCCTCCTCAAGCGCCCCTGGTCTCTGGGTCCCTCTGGGTCCGAGTGTCTTGAACCACCATCCCCCGGCGTTGCATTCCCTACACAACCCAACTTACCTGTGCTTTTGGGATTTGGGGCAGGAATGTGTGTGATATAGGGACTCAATTCAGGTCTCACACAGGCTAGGTAAGAGCTGTACCACTGAGCCACACCCCCAGCCCCTCACTGGGGAATTCTAGGCAGGGGCTCCACCACTGAGCCACACCCCAGCCCCTCACTGGGGGATTCTAGGTAGGGGCTCTACCACAGAGCCACACCCCCAACCCTCACTGGGGGATTCTAGGCAGGGGCTCTACCACTGAGCCACACCCCAGCCCCTCACTGCGGGATTCTAGGCAGAGGCTCTTCCACTGAGCCACAACCCTAGCCCCTCACTGGGGGATTCTAGGCAGGGGCTCTACCACTGAGCCACAACCCTAGCCCCTCACTGTGGGATTCTAGGCAGGGGCTCTACCACTGAGCCACACCCCCAGCCATTACCTCAGCCCTCTTGCCTTTTTCTCTCTCTTACCTGTTATTTCCTGCCTCTTCTCAGGTCCAGGAGCGCCCCGAGGCCTTGCAGGCTGAGCTGAACCTCACACTGAAGGTCCTGGAGAACGTGACTGACCCGGGCCTGGGCCCCATCCTGGACCAGCCTCTTCTCACCCTGAACCACATCCACTCACAGCTGCAGGCCTGTGTGAGTCCTGGGTCCCTGCTCCTCCACACTGTACCCCAGACACTAGGGACCCCGCATGTGGCAGCGGCAGGCTCACAGTCCCCTCCTCTGTCCACAGACTCAGCCTCAGCCTGCAGCAGAGCCCAGGCCCCCCAGCCGCCGCCTCTCCCGCTGGCTGCACAGGCTCCAGGAGGCCCAGGAGAAGGTGAGTCTGGGGAGGGCACTGGGGTCCGCAGAGCCTGGGAGTCCTGAGCCCCGGCAGCCCCTGAGCCAGCTCTGTCCTCCCAGGAGACCCCCGGCTGCCTGGAAGTCTCTGTCACTTCCAACCTCTTCCGCCTGCTCATCCGGGACCTGAAGTGTGTGGCCAGTGGAAACCAGTGTGACTCAGTTTCGTGGCCTGGCACAGCGTATCCAAGACTCTGAGCTCTATCCTAGGTCCCACCCTTGCCTTAACTTATTTCCACTAACCCTTTATTTATGAAGCTGCAGCCCAGGTTGGGTTTATTTTCTTGTTTTCATACAATATGTATGCAAATAAACAGTGAGTAATTGGACTCTTCTGTAGTGGGCAATACTTGAGTATGTCTGTGTATTTATCTTCTGTGATGGTATCCAAGGGACCACCCCTCTGAATCGACAGCCAACCAAGGATGTATCATTGTGTGGCTGTCCACATTCACCGTGTTCACAAACATGCTTGTAAGTCTCTCCCTAGTCTATATGGGTTATGTGTCTCTCTTAAATGTCTCTGGGACAGATGGGGGTCTCTCACTCAGAATGCTGTCTCCTGTAATAAGGATCAGGAAATCCAACGTGGGGCTGCAGAAGTTGTACAAGGGTGAGAACTTTAGCTCCAATCCCAGCATCCTTGTAAAAAAAAAAAAGATACAGTGAGCTTTGGAAGTGGACCCAGGACAAGGATCCCCAGGGCTAGCTGTCTACCCAGTCTAGGAATTGGTAAGCTTCAGATTTACTTATAGACCTTGGCTCAAAAAATAAGGTGGAAGCCAAGTGTTGGTGGCGCATGCCTTTAATCCCAGCACTGGGGAGGCAGAAGCCGGCGGATCTCTGTGAGTTTGAGGCCAGCTTGGTCTACAGAGCTCCACAGACAAACCTTGACTCAAGGGAAAAAAAGGTGGAAAGTAATTGAAACCAAACCTAATATGCACTTCAGACCTCGACGAATGCATGTATATATAAATGTAAGTACATACACATTAAAATGTGCCGAACTCCCTCTGTTGACCAGGCTGGTCTCGAACTCACAGAGATCCATCTGCCTCTGCCTCCCGAGTGCTGGAATTAAAGGTGTGAGCCACCAACGCCCAGCAAGACAGTGCTCTTAACCACTGAGAAATCTCTCTCGCCCCCAAATATAATTAAATGAATAAAAAAGAACATAGGGATTATTCTGAGTATGATAGCGACACATGCCTATAATCTCAGCCCTGAGAACGTGAGAATCAGCCGTTCAAAGTCATCCTAGGCTACATAGCCTGGGCTATTTGATATCCTAGCTCGAAAAAAATAACATAAACCCATAAACCGATAAACAAAAAAGATTCATGGGTGAGGCTGGAGAGAAACCTCTATCCCACCTGGAGGACAAAGAATCTCAGCTGTCATCCTTCAATACTTGTCCATCTGGTTTGGTTTTACTTTTATTTTTTAGTTACTGTCCTGTGGTTTGTCAATCCTGTTATGCTCGATGTACAATGAGTCCCAGAGATCCACCTATTTTTGCCTCCCTGGCACTGGACTGACTTCCCCCCACTCCAGAATAGGTTTGGGAGAATCGAACTCAGGTCCTCATACTTGTGAGCTTAGCATGTTACCACCTGAGTCAGCCATCTCCCCAGCCCCAAGAGTATATTGCTTCTATCATCAAAATATGGAAATGCATAAGTTGGAAGTCAGCCAGTACTACATAGTGAAAAGAGAGAGAGAGAGAGAGAGAGAGAGAGAGAATATGCTTTGGTGCTAGTTGATAAAATCACAATTTCCTGTGGAACTGTGGGGGGGTATGTGTTGTGATGTGTTGTGGGGAGTTTAGGGGCTGGGGCGCAGCTGCACAGATAACTTAGCTGTTAAGAATTCTTGCTGTTCTTGCATAGGACCCAAGTTCAATTCCAGGACCCACAACAGGCAGCTCACAACTGCCTGAAACTGAATTTCCAAGGGATCCAACATCTCTGGCTCTGTGGGCACTACACTCATGTGTACACACCCCCACAGCTTAAAGATAAAAAGCTAGAGTTGGGTGGTGGCGGCGCATGCCTTTAATCCCAGCACTCGGGAGGCAGAGGCAGGAGGATCTATGTGAGTTCGAGGCCAACCTGGTCTATACAGTAAGTTCCAGGAAAGCCAGGGTTGTGTTGAAAGACCCTGTTTCAAAAGCAAAAACAAGAAAAAGAAATAAAAATTGATATAAAGATGGATGGATGGATGATGGGTTGGTGGATGGATGATAGGTAAGTAGGTAGGTAGATGGAGATAGAGAGGTAGATATAGATATATAGATAGAGAGATGATGGATGGATGATAGATTGATAGATGGATAGATAGATAGGTAGGTAGATAGATAGATAGATGATAGATAGATAGATAGACAGATAGATGGTTCAGCGGGTAAAGGCATTTGCCACTAAGCTTGAGGGCCTAAATTCAACCCCAGGAACCCACAAGGTGGAAAGGAAGAGCTAATGATGCAAATTGTCCTTTGTCTTGCACTGCAGCACATGCACACACAATGAATGAATGAATGAATGAATGAATGTAGTTTAAGAAAGAAAACACAAGTACAGTGGCTCATGCCTACAATCCCAGCAGTTTGGAGGTAGAGGCAGAAGGATCATGAATGTAAGGCCATCCTTGGCTACATAGTATCTTGTCTAAAAACTAGGCATGGTTTAATCCCAGCACTTTCGAGGCAGAGGCAGCTGGATTTCTGTGAGTTCAAGTCTAATCTGGTCTACGTAGGAAATTCTAGGTGAGCCAGGGTTACATAGTAAGATATTGGGGAATGGGAGAATGACAAGAAAAAGCTAATATGTTTTAAATGTTTCAAACATTCTGCTGTGGAGCTGGAGAGATAGCTTAATATTCAGGAGGATCCAGGTTCAATTCCCAGTACAAACATGGCAGCTCACTATCATCTGTAACTCCCGTTCCTTTTCTGACTTCCTCTGGCACTAATCACAGACACGGCACACAGATAGGCATTCAGGCAAGACACCCATACACATAAAGTAAAAAACAAATATCAATACACTCCATTATGTCATCTGGCTATATTTGGAGTCTGGGGCTTTGTCATAGACCTGTTTCCATGTGTTTTCTTCTGTCTTCCTCGGGACAATAGTTTTAAATCCTATGCTTAGTGCCGTATGGTCACAAAATGGCAGCAGACACTGCAAGTCTCACATCTTCAAACCAATAAATTAAGCAGGAAGGAAGAGAACAAATGAAAAAGTATTTTCTGTTTTATATTGGGGAAGAAACGAACATCAGTCCAGGCTGGCCTCAAACTTGCTATGTAGCAAACCGTGACAAACCTCTGATCCTCCTGCCTCAGCTTCCTGAGTGCTGGGATTACAGACATACTCCACCAGGACCATTTCTTTCCTTGCAGTCATTTGTTTGCATATTTATTTATCTGTGTTTCGAGACTGGGTTTTTCTGTGTAACAGCCCTGGCTGTGCTAGAATGCTCTTTGTAGACCAGCCTGGGCTCCAACTCCCAGAAATCCTCCTGCCTCTGCCTGCAGAGTGCTGGGATTAAAGGCATGCGCCACCACCGCCCATCTTGTGGCCTTTCTAACTATATCATCAGACGGCCTGGAATGTGAGACCCTGGCGCCTCTGCCCCCCAAGTTCTGGGTGGCAGCATGTGCCACCATGCCTAGGAGTTGGTCTATTTTATTCATTGCTACACTGGACCAGGCATACGGTACATGCTCAGTAAAGCTTATCCATGCGTGAGTTTCAGGGCAACCAGAGTTGCGCATTGTGCCCCTGCTTCTTCCAGGGGTAATGACCTTTCATGGGTGTGACTGTAGTGCCCTGGGTTCACACATTAGGGGGATGTGTGAGCATGAGCACAGGGCCCAGCTGGTGGGAGCATTTCACACCTAGGTATCACTGTGACTGACATGTATATTGGGCCAGCGGGTGAGGGATCCACCTGGTCTGGAATTCTCCAGAGCTGCTGTCCTTGCTGCCTCCCACCCTCTCTGCCCAGACCAGCTTCCTCCCTCTGGCTCTGTTTCTATTTCTGTCTTGCTCTCTCCTCCTCCCTAGGCCTCAGGGGGCCCGCGGCTGGCTTGAAGCCTTCTTTTTTCCCCAGGATTAGGAAGGAGCTTTCATGGCCAAGCCCAGAACCCCACCACCCTTTGCCTCCCCGGGAAAGTCCTCAGTCCTTAGAGGGCCCCTCCTCCACCACCCTCCACTGCTCCCAGCATCCCCGCCCTACACACCATCCATCAAACTCACACACGTAAGCAGAGCCCTACTCCCTTAACAGCTGGCTTTGGAGACCCACCCTCAGCTAGGGTCATTGGAGTCATTCCCCAGCCTCCAGACAAAGTTCCAGAGGCAAGCTGCCCATTCCACTCTTCTTCTTGAGAAGCAAGCCAGAGTAGAGCTTTCTGACAAGAGACTACCCTTCCCTCTGGGGTCTGACCTCTGTCTGTAAAACAGGACCATGGGTATCTGTGTATCCTACACAGTGCGGGCAGCCAGGAGGGGCCAGGGGATGGGTCAGAAGTTAGCCCACTATTTTTTACTATTACTGACATTTGCAGGTTTGAGACGGTGTCTGGCTATGCTGCCCAGGCTGGCCTTAAACCTTGGTCTCAAGCAATCATCCTGCTCTAGCCTCCTGGGTAGCTGGGAATTCAGTTGTGTCATCTTGCCCAAATCCACCTGCCTTTTTATTTTTTACTTATTTTGTTGACAAAAACAAAACCAAAACAACCACAAAAAAAAAAAAAACCAGGATCTCCGCCGGGAGTTGGTGGTGCACGCCTTTAATTCCAGCACTTGAGAAGCAGAGGCAGGGGGGATCTCTGTGAGTTTGAAGCCAGCCTGGTCTACAGAGTGAGTTCCAGGACAGCCTCCAAAGGTACAGAGAAAACCCATCTCAAAAAAACCAAAAACCAAAAGAACAAAAACCCAAAAAAACAAAACAAAAACAAAAAAACAGGATCTCATGTATCTCATGCCAGTCTCAAACTCTGCATGTAGTCTTGAACATTTTACTCTTAAAAAATTATTTATGGGGGCTGGAGAGATGGCTCAGAGGTTAAGAGCACTGACTGCTCTTCCAGGTGTCCTGAGTTCAATTCCCAGCAACCACATGGTGGCTCACAACCATCTACAGTTCAGTCTGGTGTCCTCTTCTGGCAGAACACTGTATATGTAATAAATAAAACCTTTAAAAATGATTTATGTGTACATGCTTGTGTATCACACACATGCCCGCAGAAGCCAGAAGAGGACATGGGATCCCCTAGAACGGGGGCGCTGCCACGTGGGTATTGGGAGTCAAACTGGGT